AGGGATGTGTCCCTGTCATCAGTGGTAGATCCTGACACCAACAGCGGTTCAAGGGGTACCTGACAGGGGTTCTCTTTCCCACAAATGGACTTAGCCACGGAAGCTCTACAGCAAATCCTGGTTCTGCACTCGCTGTAGACCTTGGCAAGAGTTAGTTTCCTCATCTGTAAAATGGGGCTCTTCATTTCTACCTCACTTGGACGCTCAGAGGGTGCAGTGCTCTGAATGGCGCCTGGCACAGAGACATTCACTGTTATTTCCAGCCTGTACTACCTCTTGGGACCACGCACAGAAATGAATTGACCGCTGCCTTGTGCTGTGGTCACATCCCTGGAGCTTCAAGGGCTGGGCTCTCCTGCTCTCTGGGTTCTGGGGTTTGAAGAACACATTCAAGTCTGGTTAAGTCCCTTGGCAAGGAAGACCTTGAGTGGGCAGTGGCAGGATGGCTTGACATCTAGGAGCGCCAGGACAGGTGTGCTGCCACCAGATGCAGGGGAGTGATCAGCCATCTCCACTGTCAGTCTTGCTTCCCTGGCTGCAGTGAAGGCCAACCGGTGTTTCCCTGATCCCCATCTCACACAGGGCCCGAGGCCTGGCTACCCGTCTGTCTTGCCTGTCAGCTGCAGTCAGTGCTCTGGCTCGCCCCTTTGACTCTCGGACATGTACATATTTCCAGCAGAGGCCCCAGCAGTTGTGGAATGGGGCCCCCTAAGAAACTCTGGCCATCTCTGCCAAACCACTCCCTCCAGATTCTCAGCTGCATTTGTTGCCTGAAAAGAAAATGTCTGGATACCCAGTTGACTTTGGCCTGGTAAGTAGCAGCACGGGTGACAGTCTTGTGAGGTAACAAGCACAGGAGGTGTAGCCCCTTGCTCCCTTGAGACATGTGTTGGGCAGGAGAGCCCAAAGATGTGCCAGTGGATACAGCACATGGTATTCGCTCTGCCTCTGGAAATGCCAGCCGCCTGCTTGCGAAGGGTCCCGAGAAGACAGGGCTACCACTGCTCTGATCAGGCCGACTGTCCCCCAGACTCTCAAGATTGCTATGATTATTCTAGTTCCACAGGCAGAGCAGCACTTCCTAACACACTTACTACACTCCAGACTCATCTGAGATGCCAAAGGCTGCTCAGGGAAGCTTAACATTTAACTTTTAGTAAATGGAGCGTGACGGCATTGAGACAAGAATTAATTAGCCTGATGTACTTCTTACATCATTTTTCTTTTAAAAGAAAAGCAGACTATGTTGCCACTCTATGAACAAGGGAAATAGTTCTTCTGTGATGAGTGGCCTCAATCACTAAAAGCAAATATTTTGTTTATTTTTAACAAAACATGAAGACCCATCCTGCTGACTTCGATAAGCATTACCAACAAGTACCACTGGGGGACGACACAGCACAAAGGGAACTAGGTGGGAAAGCCCAGGACTCTTGGTCAAAATGTCCTTGCTCTTTTCCATGGAAATTCTCAAACGTGTTCTGTACTTTAACTAAACGAAAATACTGAAAGTGATATAGTAGAGAGCACTTTTAATGGAAAATTAATTGATAACACAATCTTATTTCAATTTTCTTTTTATTTTTTTAACTTAAATGACTGTGTATATTGCACAGTCTTATGATGAGAAAGGCTCCAGAATCATGTCTAGGTCTTCTCAACATTTCATTTCTCGAATCGTTTTTTACTTTATGTTCTGCATTGATATGGGCTTCTCAGTTCAGAAAACAAGGCACTATAACTATTTTATCAGCTACATTAATACATTGAAGATATATTTATCCTTTCATGAAATATACAGCATTTGAATACAATATGGTTTTATGCAGATCAGGTTCAAAACACCCAAGGCACACACTTTATTTTTTTCCTTTTTTTTCGTTTCTGTATTTATTTGAAGGCTCATATTAAAATTTCAGAATTGCTATAAACAAAGAGTTCCAGAGTAGAAGCAATGGACAGTGTTCATTATAATTTTAAACATAAAATGGTAAAGACTGTGAAATGTAGAAATATGTTACAGGAACAATAAAGAAACCCACTGATACAGCATGGATAAAAAATTGAAATGATCAGATCTGCTGAAGTCTGAGAAACAAGTTTGAAAATTACCCGATTCCCCACAAAGCACGGGCAGTCCCGTATGCATGCAGCTGCTGTGGTCACCCCAGCCACTATGGAATTTTCACCTACTTGCGTGTGTACATGGTATCTACAAATACAGAAGACATTCCAGTTCACCAGTTATTAAAATACCTCAAATAAAGTACAAGTAAAAGAAAAAGTCTTCAATAATTTTTTTTTCTTAACAAGACAAACGGATACATTTATTTAGGAGAAGAGGTCGGGAAGAAGCCATTGGGTGGTAAAGTTGGGGGGGAGGTAAGGTCTGGGAGAAACCATTGGATGGTGAGACAGGGGGCTTAAGGGAGGGTAAACTACAAAAGACATGAGGATTAGAATTTTCATGAACATTGAAACATAGTGGCTGCTGTTCAAATGGAGAATGTGCCAAAATAGAAGAAACTGTTCAGGAACTAAAGACAAGTTTTCAGTGATGAGGCCAAAGAAGAGGTTCAATGTTTAAGTTTAAAATATGCTTCCCTCCAGCCGTAGGGATAGCCCATGTCTTCCCGGCTCAGTTCTTTGCCAAAAGACACAAATTCTCTTGCTCCAAGCCTTAATGCGTGCTCGCTTACCAAAACATGTTAGCGTTACGTCAGCCAGAGAGGCTGCCCCATTCTGCAGCCCCGACAGCAAAGACACCAGTTTTGGGTGTGGGGGAGACCTAGCCTTCGAGGAGGAAGACCCGAATCTGGTCACCCTCCACGCCAGCCCTGCTTCCATCCCAAACCACAGGAAAGCCAGGCCTCAGCCACACTCACAGCTGTGTTCACAGACGTCCCTGTGGACACTTCCACAGTGCTGAAATAAAACACATTTCCACCTATACACTGAGAATACTTTAAGGAAATGGAACTAAGGCGAATTAGCTCAATGAAAGGAGAATTTTTACTCTTTGATGAAAGATATCATCTGGTCAGGTTTCTAGAGGTAAAGTGGCCACGATGTTCCAACAACCTACATTAGATTTCAAGTTTGGCAACTTTTTGTTTGTTTAATTCAGACACTGTTCACTGTTTGCAATCAGAACCACAACCTTAGTGCAATAGTATATTTATTTTTTTTTACAGTAATTTTGGTTGCCATACAAGAGATTTAAGGATTGGGAGAAAGTGCAAATTACAGGAGCTTGATTTTTGTTTTTGTTTTTTTTAATAAAGTCTAAAAAGAATAAAAGCACAAAAGTAACAGCAACATAGATAATGCGAACACATTACACAAACTGTAGTGTGAAACAGATTAGTTTCTAAAAAACAACAAAAAAAATTTGTTAATGGGAAAAATCAATATTTGTGGCCCACACACAAAAGTCATTGCCAGATTGCCTGTGTAATGCTTGCTTGTTCAATAACTCAGAAAAAAAAAATCACCATTTTATTAACCAAAGAACGACAAATAATTCACTTTGTGATATGTAAAGTTCAGCAAATCAACAGTCACATTGAGTCATTTTTATATTATATGAATTAACTTAAAATGTGCACAGACACCCTGGAGAAGGTATCTTGGCAGGTGTACATAATTTACATCTTGAGAGATTTTGGTTTTGTATACACAATATTACAGAAACTAGGCATGTAAATGCGATTTATTTAAATTACAGTATATAACAAAAGTTGATCTTAAAACCTGGAATAGTATTAACATGATCTTCATATGAGCAGTTTAACGTTTGTTCCACCATCAAAGAGGGTCATGGACTAGGGCCTGGTCCTAACATGTCCCAAGGGGGGAGAACAGTGGGCGGCGACTTGAATGAGGAACTATTGCTTTCTGTAGCAAAATCATCGAATGGAGCCAGAGACTGATTCATCTTGGCAATGTGTGTTTATTTTGTTGGTCAGTGCAGGTTCTGATGGGTCCTGTGACTTTTCTATAATAAGACAAGGTAAAGGTAAACGATTTCGTCAGCTCTTGAGTCTTTCGGTCTGCTTGCATGTGACCTGAAGTCTCTCTATGAAAGGGAGTGACAGCCAGCTCTCACCACTGGCTACCAGTTCAATAAACCTAAAGACACCAAGCTGCAATTGATTACAACTTACCGGCGGTTTCCTTTACTCTCCTTCTGTCTAGAGCGTGTGCCTGGCACTGAGCATCGAGGTAATACCAACAGTAGGCAAAGAAAAAAGAGCCCCGGTGAAGTGGTATACTTACTGAATTTTGCAATATCACCAAATGGAAGACAAATAATGGCCAAACCCCCATTTTTACATTTTCTGAAATATCGGGCAGCCTCAGCAGGCCACCTGTAGTATCCTGGCTTGAAATTTCTCTAGAGTAGTATGCATTCACCGCACGATGGAACAACTGAAAGTACATGGAAGTAAAGCGCCTTAATACTCAATTGACTTCAAGTTGGATTGGATCGTTCAAATACAGAGACCGACCTGCAGAAGGTTTTGGAACAGAAGAAGGTCCAAAACTTGGTTTCCAATTCGGGGGCACATAGCTGTGTGTGTGTGGTGTGTGTGTGTTTGGAGAAACTGCTGCGTTGTGTATTGTAACCACTTTTGAAGAAATAATTGTCCTCTGATGACGAAGTTCTAGCAAAGATAGAAAATATAACACAGCTCTGCTGGTTCCGATGCATCCAAATAAGGGTGATTTAAAAAGGTCATACTTTTATCATTATTCCACAGAAATAGTAGTATTAAATCACAAAAGTTTTTTTCTTTAACTTTCTAGCACTGAAGTGGCACAAAGGCTGCCTAGTAGACCAGCCACTTTTTTTTCTTAAAATATTGTGCTTATAAACTATCTGTACAACTATTTAAACTTGCAGTAAAGAAAGAGTTTAAATTGCTAAATTTTACGTGTTCATTCTAGAGCTGTTCCAGACCTAATCAGACACTTGATTGTGAGCATAAAGAAAAAGAAGGAAAAAAAAATCATGTTTTTATAATTAGAGATGGGCTAGGCTAGTTCTGAAATCCTAATAAAAGCCAAAAACCTGACATTCAAGTTTCTTCCAAACGTGGGAGAATGTGCTGGAAGCCTGACTGGATGTTTTGCAGCCCATGTGTGACTGGCGACCTCCCTTGGAAATCAGAGGTATTGTTACGGGGTGGGGGGATTCTAGGGAAAGGAATGGGGCAGGGCTCATGAAAGCCTTGCCAGAGAGGCAAGACAGTGGTCCAGGACTCCTTCCTACTCTTTCCTGTCTTATTTATCGGCACTGCACCCTCACCCTGCAGCCCACCTTCTGTTCTCAACCCTGGGTCCTGTCTGTATGCCATACTCACTGGGTTCTCAGAAAACCTCTTGCACTATTAAGACAAGCTGGTGGGGTTCCTGGACACTCAGAGAGAGAGGGAAAAAGCCCCTAAGCCCCATGTTCCCTGGCCTCAGAGAGCAGAAGGGCCATCTCAGCAGAGATGCTTACCCTTGGCCGGGCTCAGAACTGAGGTCACCATGCCCCACCCAGCTCCTGGCGGATGCTGTCTCACCTGGCAGCAGCACATGCCCACCATTACCCTTGTATCTTGCCCTTCAAGTCAAAGCGCATGCTCACCTGCTCTGATCTTTGCAGAATTCAACACAACGTTCAATTTAAAAAAATCCCCAAAGGCAGAGAACCCCCTTCTCATGGTCCTGGAGAGATACTCCTGGCAGACAACTGCTCTCATCCTGGGGGAGACTTTGGACCCAGGCAGCGGCACTGGCTGGTTTCCATGGCCAGGTTTCCTCTCCTCCTGGGAATCGTGACTTTGTGCTTTGACTAACTCCATGTGACATCTGTTTGGCCACTTTGGAATTATGCTAGTAGATGTGCAGAAATAAAGAAAGAAAGCTAAGCAAAGCTGAGCACGATCCCATTCAAATTCCCCACCACTGCCAAGAACGTCATGGCCAAAGAGCCATGGATGCACATCGCAGGAGGAGACGGGGTAAAGAATCTACAGGAAAAAAGTTTCTCTACCTTTCAGGCCCAAGGAAGTGCACCGGACAAACATGTCTGGGGGTTTCTCGCTGCAAGCCAAGTACAGGAAAGAAAGGAGCAAGTAAGCACTGAGTGCCCTCCGAGAGGCCACGGACTGAGGAGAGGCCTTGTGCTGGGGCGGGGGTGAGACTGCCCGGAAAGCGGAGGAGGGAGGTCTCAGGAGGTATCTAGAGCACACTGGTGTCTGCCTGCAAGGCAGGGCTCCCGTGCTAAACCGACGGGGCAGTCTTGTGGACCTGGCAAAGTGAGGCCACCTGCATGCTGGGAGGCAAGTGTGAATCTCTCTCCGTGTTAGAAAAACTCCCTCCCCTAGTCCCCCATTGCACAGAAACAGCCCAAGAAACCGCCAGAGAGAGCTGGGGAGTTTCAGGGCCTTCACCCAGCCACACCGTGGACATGCTCAGCATCTCTTTGGGTACCAGGAGACAAACCCGTGCAGTGGGGTTGCTGCTCACAGACCTGCTTGGCCATCCAAACATTTCAGTATAAGCCCATCTCTACTTATAACAAAAGTCTGTGAAGGGAAAGAGCAGCCACCCTTATCTGTCCAGCAGCTGTTTCAAAGCCCTTTCTATGTTCATTCTGTGCCCGACTCGAGTCACCCCAAGATCTATTAGGTCTTCCTTCTGAAGGTTTGGTAAGTGACTGCCGTCAATCTCATTGTCCATGAAGGTCTCTTTATGTTCACCCAAGTTTAGACTTTCCAGCCAATCCGCCACATCTGGTTTAGTCCACAGGTGCACAGGTTTAGTTGTAAAAGGCTTATTTGAGATTGGCTGTTGCAGTATCGAGGGAGATGGCGACCTGCTGCGTCCTGCTGGGTTCAAGCCAAAGAGGTCCCCGGAAGGGGGCTGGCTTGGAAGGCTAAAGACATCTGAGAGAGTGGGAGAAGGAGATGCAGCGGCAGCAGACAGGGGGGCAGGCAGGATCTCTTTGTTCATCTCTGTTGGCGAGACCACAGGGCTTGGGGCACGTCTTGTTCCTGAGGTCCTACTTTCGTAGTCTGGGGGCCGGCTCTGCAGGGTGATGGGCTGGGAGGTCCCAGGGCGAACAGTGAAGGTGACCGTCGTGCTCCGTGTACCTGAGATGGTGCTCATGACCTCTGGGCTTCTGAAACGGCAAGAACAGAGAAAACCATCACAAGCTGGGTCACAAAGCATGTGATCAGGATGCAGGTTGCCAAGGAAGGGGAGGGAGACATCCAAACCACACCAGAGTGTCTAATGGCAGATGTGCTGGCAGTGAGCAAATGATTTGCCATGCCAGGATCCGGGGCAGGTGAAGACAGGAGCAGGAGGCAGAGGTCTGAGGAGACACCAGAGTACACAAGGCAGCCCACTCACCTGGCCCCATGCTGGGGGAGTGGAGGGATTTGCCTGCGCTGCCTGAGCAGTGAGGGGCAGCCGAGGGCAGCCAGCAAGGCACTTTAAGGGCTCGCTCAAAGATGTAAGACAGGGCCAGAACGGTCCTGGCTCCCTGGGTGGGACGTGTCTGGTGACATCACCAATACCGCTTGAGGAAGTGACATCTTCTTCTTCCCTTTCAGCCAGCAGAAAGGAGAGCACCCTCGAGGAGAGACTCTCCCTCTGAACTGCCTGTCAGACCTTCCACTTTTTGACTTAAAAGGGCAAGTGCAGGGATGGGCACCTCGCAAGAGGGCCCTGTTTCAGTGAGTGGGAAGCCTCACGGCTATTTGGGGTTTGAAGAAATCGTTAACAAAACCAGAGAACAGGAGTAATTTGCCCAAGTTCAGCCTACTGATCCAATCTAAAAGAACGGCTTGCTCCACAGTCGACGCCATGCAGCATTGACTGGGCTACTTGGTTGAAGAATGAGTTTGGGGGTGCTTATGTATTTTTTTTAGCCCCACAAGAAGGCAGTGTGAGAGGCTCACAATAGGATGTACAGTCCTTACCAAAAAGCAGAAATCTGAAAGGGATCCCATTCTCCCAGTGGTGGCCACGGGAGTCTGTGGAAGTCCCCCATGTCCTTCCTGCTCAGGTTGGGCAGGGTAAGCCCTAGGGATTGGAGTGGGGATGGACTCAAGTCCTCTAGGTTCAACCTTTACTGGCCTCAGTGAGACAGTTGGATGACTCTTGAGGGGAGGAGATCACATCTCAATGCCAGAGAAGTCTCTAGGCTTCATGCTCACCTACATGGAGATGGTCTTTTTATATATGGCACCCTCACTGGTTTTGGCCAAGGCCCATGGCAGGCTTTACAGCCATGCACAGAGAAGCACAACCATCCCTCTCAGCCCTGGTTCACGCTCTTCTCTGCTGTCCCCAAACTGAAGGCATGTCCATCCTACTACCCTGAGAAAGCCACAGCCACTGGGGAGGTGGCAAAAATAGGCGTGTGTCTCTTGCCTTTTGGGCTCATTCACATGAATGCGGACAGACCACATTCTGGAAGGACCCTTCTTACCATGGGTCCCTCCTCCAGTTCTGGACTCAAGACATATGTTTAAGTCTTGGCTCCACCAAATGCCAACACAGGCACATTTTTAGCCTCTGAGCCTCCATGTCCTCATATATGAGATGGGCTCCACTCCCTCCTAAGTGGTGTGAGAACTGGGGTGGACGTGCTCTGGAGAGCAGGAAGAGCTGCACTGGGGCTGATGTCGTGACCGGCAATGAGAAAGGACGGGCTGCAGTGTCTGTGTGCAAGGGCCGAGGACGAGAGCAGGAGCTTTGTGAACTGAAGGGAGTGAGCTGGAGGCGGGGCCCAGTCTCCCTGCTCGCTGGTCTGTCTGGTCCTTTGCTGCTTTTTGTTCTCTGCCACTGATTCGTACTTGGGTAAAACCACCCTCAGTACCTGGTGCCTCTAAGCCTCGTGACACTCCCCACTTGATGGCAGTCACCGTCACTTCAAGTATGGGACAGCCCACTTGAGGGAGCAGCAGATCTGAAGAGGGACCTGTGCCGGGACTCAGGCTTTGATCCGGTCATAAGGAGAAGCATTTCCAAGGGCGGGTGGATGCACACGGGGCCAGGGACACCCATCCACCTGCAGCACGTTCACGTGCAGTTTCCTGGAGGGCTGGGGGCCCCGGGGTGGGATTTCATACAAACGGGAGGAGATCCCCGTCAGAACCTCTGGTGAGGGGGGTGGTGTTGGGTGTACTGGTTACACCACCAGGTAAAGGCAGCCCCGGGGGAGACTCTGAGGACGCCTCCTCCACTACTGCCAGGCTCGGCCACTCACATTCAAGAAATCCACATGTCCACATGCAGAGGGAGGGAGCAGCACCCTCTGGTATCCAGACCCAGGCGCTCGAGAGAGAGGTGGGCTGTGGACACAGTGGGGCATAAGCAGAACCTGCAAGTTCTGGTGCTCAAGTGGGACCAGAAGACCCACTCCAGTTCCAACCTGGGCAAAAGCTAACACTGGCAGGCAGTGCTGGGAAACGTCCCGCAGACGGCCCAGCTCCTCGTGGCTGGAGGACACGTCTCTTTGGGGGAAGGCTCATTTGTTCCACTTTGATACAACAATTAAGCTAAGATGGTGGAAATAAAATCCTGCGTTAAGCGTAAAGACACTCCATCCGGAGGTGATTTGAGTTGTTAATTAGGTCCAGGGACCTTTGGGGAAGAAAGAAGTTTTTTTGTAAAGTGGGTAAATATCTGTAAGAACACATTTGCTCAGGTGAGTAATGCCTGGGAGTAACAGTCCGGATGTGCTTTCTCTAAAGGTGACTGTGCCCATGACCCTGACCCTGACTGGACCCACCACGGCAGTCTACCTGTGGAGTGACCTTGTTTCTCCCTGGGCTTTGTGAAGCAGTGGAAGATAATCCCCCAGAGTGAGAGCAATGCCTTAAACTTGGGCAGCATTTAACAGTGGGCACCTCTGGGCCAGAGGATGGCTGTCAGCGCCACCCTCCCTTTGGAAATACCCCAACCGTTCCCAGGCAGTTAGGATTTCTTTTAAAGGAAGGCTCTGCAGGCAGCTGTCTGTTGTCAGAAGCAGAGAGGAGGCTCTCCACACACGCGGGTGGGCAGTGAGAAGAAGAGACAGCACACCAGAGACGAAGAGCATTTCTGCAAGGCACTTACTTCTGTTCAGCATGACCCTCTTCTGTTAACACCCATCATGGGAGCAAATGAAAATGACAAAATGGAATGGCTTAAGACAACACCGCAAAATTAATTAAAATAAAAAAGCAGCTTCTTTTGATCCATGAAATGAAAGCAGTGGGACAGACACTGGCTGAGACTCTATCCATGCTGGTCCCTTTCCAGCCAAGGAGGCGGGTGGTTAGAGTGGGCCGTCCACATAACTGCCCGGAACAGGAAATCAGTATGGCGTCACTTCCATATTGAGAATGGGAAATTCACAATCCTGCCTTCCTCGGCTTGGGATAATGTAACTATAAAGAAGAGAAATATCCAGGAAAAAGTTAAGAAAGAGAAAACAGCAACGCTGGAATGACGTTAGCCTTTGCTGAAGTCCTGAGAACAAGCTCACTGCTAATAGCCTCACTCGGGCTTCTGCGCCATCCTCTGTCTTCTGCAGATTAGGAATAAATCCACATTCCTGGTGGGGGAAGACCACACAGGTATGTGTGCTTTGCTTCAAGTCTACACCATGAGAGGAGAGCCCGGCACTAATGATGGGAGCCGTCAGATCTGGCCATGTGTTTGGGGCCTGCCCACGCCTTTGCTGAATGTCGCCATGGAAGAGAATAACCAGAGAGTTTGAGAAGCAGAGCAAAGGCCTGCCCTGGGCTGGCCCGTCCTGCCCTCCTCCTCAGTGGCTTGATTTACTCTCAGTCCATCACACTGCTATTATTCACCGGATCCTCCTGGTTGCAGAGATCATTATGTTGCTAAGCAACCACTGGGTTCCCGAGTGGAACACACAGGAATCTGTTGCCCTGATTTAGAACACAGACACATGCACACTCGCGCACACACACACCCTCTCTGGGATTATCACTCTCTGTCCTGACTCTTAAATCCACACGGAATCATGAGAATTAGAACAAAAATTGAGAGTTGACCGACACTCTGAGATGCGATGTTATTTCATCAGTCAGTGCAAGTTCACGGGTAGGGGAAGTAAACATTCAAGTGGCTTTTTCATTGTGTTTACAAATTCAGTTTGGCTCTTGAACAGTACTGAGTGTGGGCCAGAGGCCACTCAGTGATGACAGCCCGGTGTGCTCATTCTTCCCTCACACGAGCTGTGCTGGGGCTCCGAATCCTTTCAGCACAAGATTCTCTCCAGCAGACCTCTGCGTTTGAGTTACTGTCGAGTTCTCCTGATGAACCCCTATCTTGCATGTAAAATGGCATTTATTTCCATACTGCTCTCTTATTAAAAGTATTCTATCTTTACAACACCTCGCTAGGTGGGGCATTAAAAAGACAGGGAAGGTGAGGGGCACTGAGTCATTCACAAATCTGCCCAAGGCCTGAGTGGGCACTGGAGCCAGCGCCTCCCGCCTGCTCCACGCCTGTGTGTCAGTGCTTTCGTATACTCAGTCCTCACAGTCGCCTTGGGGCTCTGAGCACCACGAGGGGGCCCTGGTCTGTCTGCAGTCCCCAAGGCCTGGCCCACACTATTGTGTAATAAGTAATTGTTGAATGAATGAATGGTGGGTGGACATTATTAAGCGCATTTCGCAGATCAGGAAGTTGAGTGGCCTGACCAAGGTTATAGAGCCAAAACTGGGCGCGGGTGGAAGAACCCAAAGCAGAACTGCCTTGGGTTCAGCAGCCATTCCATCAGGAATCAGGTCTTCCTGCTAGAATGTTCATGTCTGAGCAGGTCAAGAAGGCACGCAGTTTTCAGGGAGAAGTCTTCCCCCCCCGACACTCGTTTGCCAAGTGGTCCTGATGTCCAGACTGGGACGTGAGGATGTCACAGTCAGACTTGAAATTGGCCGTTTGATGAGCGAGGATAAAATGTTGCAGCCAGACTAGAAGAACCCCCTTCAAATTCCAGTCCACGAGGGAACACGCCGAGAGCACATTTCACAATCCCCTCTAACTAGTGTTCACCTAATTATCCGCAGTTTCCTTCACTGACACCACCTTAACATTTCAGTTGGTGCAGTGAAATGATAAAACCGCCGTGACGGTGCCGAGGTCATGAGAACGCGA